CTCTATATATGTGTTTCTTTATCTCTGTATATATCTGAGTCTATGTATATATTTTTATATCTTGATTTATACCCCTAAAAGGGCGACGTCTCCCTGAGATACAAACATTTAGAGACAGACTACAAAAAACGTAAGCATTTACTTCATAAAATTTCAATGCAAACCTAATAAGTCAATGCTGAGTAACAGGTAAGGTTTCGTCCTCACTAACCAGAGATGGTGGCTGCGGTCTCCTCCGCCAGCAGTCGCTCCTTCTCCTCCTGCAGTTTCTCCAGTTCCCGCTGGTGCTTTTTCTGCAGCTCATCGATCACTTTCTGGTGAGACTCTTCCATGGCGGCGAAGCCTCGTTCACACGTCGCCTGTAGGGAAATGCATGAAGCGGCATTTAGTGCATCTCATTCGGATCGATTCAAGTCCACTTCTACTGTGACAAGGACAACATTTACACAGACGACAGAGATTAGCGATGTGTGGACAGAAGAGTGTCCACACATAGCCAGGTATTAATAACCTACAATGACATAAAGGGGACAGTGAGAGATGGCTTCTCAAAAAGAAACAAATACACACACTGTGATGGGACTGTTTGTTCATTCAATGTTGTTTTTTGTCAAGATTACAAAAATATTTGTTTTTCTAAGCCACAAAATCTCTATATATCTGTTTCTTTATCTCTGTATATATCTGAGTCTATGTATATATTTTTATATCTTGATTTATACCCCTAAAAGGGCGACGTCTCCCTGAGATACAAACATTTAGAGACAGACTACAAAAAACGTAAGCATTTACTTCATAAAATTTCAATGCAAACCTAATAAGTCAATGCTGAGTAACAGGTAAGGTTTCGTCCTCACTAACCAGAGATGGTGGCTGCGGTCTCCTCCGCCAGCAGTCGCTCCTTCTCCTCCTGCAGTTTCTCCAGTTCCCGCTGGTGCTTTTTCTGCAGCTCATCGATCGAAAAAAATAATGCATTACTTTTTCCATTTTACATCTAAACAGAAGCATTCAAGTAAGAAAATCGAATAATCAAATGTAAAAATCCCTTTAGTGTGTTCATTGCAAATAAACTGATTATTAAAACTACAAAAGCAGTTCAATCAGCGAGTGACTCTCTCTTTTCTTTTATTGTTAGATTCACATTAACGAGACAGACGGCCGATATATTAAGACTAGGGTTGGGTACCGAAACCCGGAAACCAATATGACACCGGTACCTATGTAACCGGTATGTACTAGAACCGAATCAGAATGCAGATTTCGGTGCCTCATTTCAGTGCCATGCCTGAGTGCTCGATTGAAATATTTGTCCTCTGGTTCTCCGAAACGGACGTAAGAAGCATCATCACCGGCACCGCACGTGAAAAATATGGTTTGTTGGAATCAGACGAAAAATGAGCTGCACCTGTTTGAAGTCGATAGAGTCAGCAAAGTCAATTTTGAGAAAAATCGAGTTAAAGTTTTCTGAAGGTTCCAAAGCAAAATCACAGCAACGTTGCATCTTTTCCTCCAGTTCTTTTCTTAATAATAATTAATAACAGTCACAATATAGCTATTTTTTATTTTATCTATGTTATTATAAATAATAACAAATTATTTATTTGAATAGTAAAATAGTAAAACAAATGCAAAAAAAATAATGCATTACTTTTTCCATTTTACATCTAAACAGAAGCATTCAAGTAAGAAAATCAAATAATCAAATGTAAAAATCCCTTTAGTGTGTTCATTACAAATACACTATATTGTCGCAGTCGAGTGTTTATTGTCTTTGTTTTATCATAAAAAATGTTCATATGTTCTGTTTACTCAGTTACAGCTATAATAGCCATGCCTTTGTCCATATAAGGGATTTCCTGGAGGGTCATAAGTTCTCTACTTCTGTGACTGGATTTGTGGATTTTCTGTGCGAGGGCGCCCTCTGGCGTCCAGTATGAATGAAACTGACATCATGTGTTTATAGTGCTAATGGCCAATCCATCATTTTTTGGGGAA